ATCCCGGCTCACTCCTAGTCCTGGAATCGGTTCAGGAGGTCGCATGTTTTCTTCTCCATCAGCTCGTAGATCTTCTTCACTCGCTTGTCGTTGGCCGCCCGGACGTAGCTGCTGGGGTCCAGTGTGGCCATCCCGTCGTGCACGTCGCCCATGATGATGAGCGGCCCGTCCTCTGCCGTCATGTTGGGGCAGGGGCAGCTCCAGTCCATGTCAGTCAAGGTCACCTCCAGGTACTTGATGTTGAAGAACTTGAGGCCCATCTTCTCGTCTTTGAGGACGTCCTCGAGGGCGAAGCGGGCGATCCCGGAGTCCTGGTCCTCCACGATCTCCATCAGCCGCCCCACGATGGCAAAGTCGCTGCGGCAGAGGCTCAGCACCATCTTGCTCTTCAGGCGGCAAGCCTTGCACTGCAGGCTCTTGGGGAAGGGGCAGACGTCCTCACAGGTCTCCTTGCTCTCGAAGTTGTTGGTGTTGCCCTCGCAGCCGCCGTAGACGAAGGAGTGGCACTGCTTCAGCAGGTGGTTGTACGCCCAGCGGGGTTCCCAGTTCTGGCAGGGACCCTGCACCATGGGCAGCAGGCAGGTGGGGCGGGCGCTGCCCAAGCAGGCAGCCCGGCACTCCTCATAGGTCTCAAAATGGTTCCTGTTGGCCCCGCAGCCCCCGTAGCGGAAGGTGAGGCAGGAGCCCTGCTTGGCGTCGAAGTGCCAGCGCACCTCCAGCGCCTCGCACCGCCGCCGGTCCGGCTCCTTCAGGCACTCGGCGCTGGGGAAGGGCTGGGGGCTGCCGGCCTGCGGGGTCCCCCCTGGCTCCCGCCTGACCACCGACAGTGGGAAGTCGGCGCGGAGCAGCCCGGCAGCGTTCCTGGCCGTGCAGGTGTAGATGCCGGCGTCCTCGTGGCGGGCGTTGTAGATGACCAGCTGGCCGATGTTGGTGACCACCACGTTGCCGTACATCTGGTCCGGCCGCATGATGAAGTTCTCCTCCCGCTCGCTCTGCTTCTCCCAGGTGATGTCCGGCCGCGGGCGCCCGCTGACGTCGCAGCGGAAGCTGACGGTGCCGCCGGCACGCACCGACTGGTGGAAGGGGTTGCTGTAGAGGGCGGGGGGCACCGGCACCTCGGGGCCGGCTCCCGGCGTGGGGCGCACCGTCGTCTCCTGCGGCACGGGGCTGGTGTCGGGCCAGGTGAAGATGTGCTTGCAGGGGACGGTGGTGAGGCGGGTGCCACGCAGGCACGCCTCGGCGTCCATGTAGCACTTGTTGTAGTAGGTGAGGCCGTCGGAGGCGCAGGTGAAGTTGGGCTCCTTCTCGCAGCGGTCCTTGCACTTGCAGACGGGCTGCCCGTCCCAGATGTCGCAGTCGGAGCCCTGCTGCGCGCACACGAAGCTCTCGCACGAGGCCGCCGGCGCCAGCGCCCGCGCTGGCAGGGTGGCGGCGGG